GACACTCACAGACCTCAAGGTAGAAGTGAAGAGAGACCAGACCCTCAGAGACCTCAAGGTAGAAGTGAAGGGAGACCAGACACTCTCAGATCTCAACGGCAAAAGTGAAGGGAGACCAGACAGTCACACAAGGCAGGAGTGAAGTGAGACCACGCACTCACAGACCTGAAAACAGTCTTGGTCTTGTCCTCTGATGAGAAGTCGGAGATGTTGGGTGGTAGACGTAGAATTATTTCTCAAAGCTAGTTTCTGAAGCCTAGAAACAATTACATATTTTAAATACAGTTTTCCTCCATGAATAGTGGCACAAAAATGGGTAATTAGAATAAAACTATCCATGACATCTAACAATGGACTGACTATACATCAGTGCCTAGAACTGTCTCTCTGAAGTACTAAAAGCTCTTATCTCAGTGAAAATGTACCACAGAAGCTTTCTGGCTTAATCTATCTCTAACTCTATCTCTGCAACCGACCTTATTATATGTGTAGGCATTATCTGTCTCATAAAATAGCAACAATGAAAATCTAGGAGAAGATGCTTACCAAGTCTACCCACACCTCGCAGGGATACTTAGTTCAACTGAGTTCTCAGGGCAACAAGGGTCCTAGGCCAAAACAGTCATTTGTACAAAGTAGTCTTTTAAAAAGTATATTGAATTAATCCTACTTTTTAAAAGTTACAATGCAAGTACAATGGACATATAAATAATAGCTGGTTGACAATGCCCTAACCTTTGAAAATATACGAATCCTCTCTTTATTGGAGAATAGAAAATACACGAGCAACTGTCTATTTTACCCAAACCTTAAAGATTAGCAACCAAGAAATTACTCAAGCCGAGGCCTATGCTTTGTCCTCTTAGCTCCTGCACGGCTGGGAAAAGCCTTGCAAAGGTGCAATGACTGGAGAGACTTCCCTGAACAAAACATCATTTTGTAAATGCTTCATTTTTATTTATTTATTTTTAATTTATAAAAATTATAAATTCTTTTATCATTTTAAAGTAGTAATCAAGTGGGGGCAGGAAGTCTGGGTTTCTATAAAGAGAGTCAGCCAAATGACCAACTGTGTTCAGAAGTTAGGAAAACACTAGTTACTGTTCCTGCTACAGACTTTTGAGAGAGGTTTCTTCCAGAGGTCTTTTTAAAGACAAATCTGCATAATATAGTGAGTCTCAAAGGAAAACAATTTAACAATAAATGCTGTATCCCATTTTCTAGGATGTGCCAGCCCAGCCCCCACCCATTTCAGGTGCATCTGTATGGTCTGGAAGTGTGACACCCAAGTGCAGTATTGTCAAAAGCACGCTTCTGGGTTTTGCTGAAACCATGTGGTTGTTGGATTGAGATAATTCAGGTTCCTTGGAAGAACAGATGGCCTGCATGTTCTTTATCCAGCTGTCTGTGAAGTTGTCCTCCAGCTGGCCTTTGGAAAAGTACAGAGAGTCTGAGGTAACAGTCCGTTTTTCAGCAGATCTTGTGTTGTTGGGAAAATGTGTAATGGCTTTCTGCAGCCAGTTAAGATGGAACTGGGACTGGAATGTATGTTAAAAGGAAAGGCTGAATGAGGACATGTGCCCATCTAGAAGGCTTTTCCAATCTGCACAGTTTAGCCTTAATATTGTCTATATGACCAATTTCCTCCAATACATATACAAATAATTGATTATCTGTCAATCTTTGACACTTACTGTGTTCTACCAAGAGGAACACCGCCCCAAGCCAGAAACTGTTTGTTGGAGAAAATCAATGGAATATCTGAACAGCAAGATCCAGGTGGCAGAGGCTTACTTCCTGAAGAAACTACTTCACCTTTTAACACAACTTCATACTGAGGTCCAAATGGCTGCACAAATATTTTCAAGCTCCTAACAAGAAGGAAATCTTAAGTTAAATGTCCTGTACTGAATTATCTTGGCAAGTATTTTTTACATGCGTCTTTTGTCCAAGAGACTGAACTGGGTGCCAAGGATATAACGATATCCCCACCCTCTGAGCCTTGACTCCAGAGAAGAATACAGACATGGCAGAGATGATGACAAAACCATCTACACAGTGGGATGTGAGAGACGATGGTGCCTAGTGAATGCTATTCATGAGAAATTTGGGAAGAGTCAAGGAAAGCTTCCCAGAAGGAGTTAGCTCAAGGAAGTTGAGGGTAAGCATTCCAGGCACAAGTATTCACACTGGTGCAAGTCAGATTTGACCCTTCTCTTCTGCAAGGTGCTGAGAGCAGAATGAGCCCATGCAGGTGTCCAGTAACCCAGAAAGGGTGAGCCTTGTGTTTGCAGAGATATAGGGCTTTAAGTTACAGTTGTATGAGCAAGCTAAGGACAGTGTTGTTCGACTATGCTGATGTACACTTATGATTGACCTGGAATATAGATAGGGAAAATTATCTTTTTTTTTTTTTGAGACAGAGCCTCAAGCTGTCCCCCTGGGCAGAGTGCCATGGCATCACAGCTCACAGCAACCTCCAACTCCTGGGCTCAAGCGAGTCTCCTGCCTCTACCTCCCAAGTAGCTGGGACCACAGGCGCCCGCCACAATGCCTGGCTATTTTTTGGTTGCAGCCATCATTGTTGTTTGGCGGGTCCGGGCTGGGGATTCAAACCCGCCACCTTAGGTGTACGTGGCTGGCGCCTTAGCCGGTTGAGCTATAGGCGCCGAGCCGGGGAAAATTATCTTAAATTAACAATAGTAATTTCTTTCTTTTCTTTTTCCTGGGAGAAAGAGAAAAAGCTAATGAGAAACATCAAAATTGATATTTTATTATTTACTTTTGTGAGAACACACTTGAAAATAGTGATTTCTTGGCTTGGTACCTGTACCTCAGTGGTTAGGGTGCCAACTACATACACTAGGAAGGCAGATTTGAACCCAGCCTGGACCTGCCAAACAACAATGACAACTGCAAGAACAATAAAAAAAATTGCTGGGCATTGTGGCAGGTGCCTGTAGTACCAGATACTCGAGAGGCTGGGGCAAGAGAATTGCCTAAGCCTAAGAGCTGGAGGTTGCTGTGAGCTGTGACACTACAGTACTCTACTGAGGGCAACAAAGTGAGACTCTGTCTCTAAAAAAAAAAAAAGAAAATAGTGATTTCTTAATTTCTATTCAGATGGTTTAAAAGGAAAATTTTAGTAACAAAAAGAAGAAAATCTGAAGGAAAGCAATTAAGTAGAGCAATACCATTTATTAAATCGAGTAGAATATGTCCTTCACCATTCAGGCTGTGGGTTGAGGAATAACTGAGTAGCTGTTTTGAGAGATGTTTTCTCATTATAAACATTTTTATGTTACCTTTCTTCACAGGCTTTGAAATCTGTTGGAGTAAATGAAACTACAACTTCATGTTCTTCTCCAGGCTTAAGAAAGAGATTCTCTGGGTCCACTGAAAAGTGACTTCCTTGTTCTGGGACCTAAACAGTGATATGATCATAAGTAAACGTGGCTTTTATTCATTTCCTTTTGTCTTGTGTGCCTTTCTCATTTATCAGGACAGGTTATTTGTCCCTTGCTCCTTGTCCGTCACTATCTCAGCTTGTCATATTCTCTAGGAAAGCACACTTCTCCTTCTTCCTTCCCCATAACACACCTATCTCCCAACTCACCTCCAATTTCTAATCACTAACACCTCTTCACTCACCCACAGGTCTCAGAAATAATGTCCACGTGTGTGGATCACTCTTTGCCAATTCCACCCAGCCACAAGATGACATATAGATTTCTCTGGAACTAATCTAGACCTTAGTCCTCATGCTCCAGATACGAGATATCAGAGTTAAAGCACCTCGAGATATCAGAGTTAAAGCACCTCGGTGTGTATTTCACATTAGTGCAATATCCAAGTTCCCAGACACTCACAGCAAGTCTCCTGTTTGACCCTCAGGACGCTCAGACAGGGCAGGAGCACAGCCTTCAGAAGGTGAGTGTGCCTCACAGTCAGGAGACTGTTTCCTAGCATAGTGACAGAAATTCTTACCTTGATATCTAAATAAACTTCAATATTTCCAGCATTTTTCAAAGGTAAATTTTGTTTTGTTGAGGAAGCCACACTGGCCAACAAATGCATAGTCTAGAGGAGCAGGAAAACCAGACATTAAAAAAAACTATTATAATTAAAGTTAAGTCAATCTGAACACAAAACAATCATGGCTAGGGGAGAGGAGGCACCTGTAAGTCTCGAGGAGCATGTATCCTAGCTATTCCTGCTCGTGCTCGGAGACCAACACTTCCAAGGATGGTTGTGGGGTTCGGACTGTCAACTTCTACATCAACTTTTGCCAAAAATTCTTCTGCTGAGTCTAGAATCTCTGTAAAGGCTCATTCTTTTAGTTCAGACACCAGAGACTTACATAATTCTAAATATCATTAGCAGTCCAACACAATGCTCTTAGAGGCAACAATACAATTTAGGCAAGAAGATTTTTTAAAAGAATCTAAAGAGGAATGAAAATAAACAGAGAGAAAGAAAAAGAAAGAAAACATACACTGGTATATGTGTGGTAAGACTGATTAAGAGAAAAACTCTAAGGCCAGGTGCAGTGGCTCATGCCTGTAATCCTAGTACTCTGGGAGGCTGAGGCAGGTGGATTTCCTGAGCTCACAGGATCAAAAACAGCCTGAGCCAGAGTCAGACTCTGCCTCTAAAAGTGGCCAGGCATTGTGGCGGGCACCTGTGGTCCCAGCTACTTGGGAGGCTGAGGTAAGAGAATCGCTTAAGCCCAAGAGTTGGAGGTTGCTGTGAGCTATGATGCCATAGCACTCTACATAGGGTGACAAAGTGAGACTCTGTCTCAAAAAAAAGAGAGAGAGAGAAACTCTATAAGGTTCCACTGGCACTAGCCCTGGTCACCCTATACTGACACAGGCTGGGCCCATACAGCCACCTACCCTGTTCTCAAAACAACACAGAATACTTAACAATTACTCAAACATTCATATTCACTGACAGAGGAAGTAAGTGTTAAATCAGTAATCTCTTTAACTATAGACTAAAGCAATTCCCACAAAATATAAACATGATACCTGAAGTACTGATTCGTTTCTTTGGACTATGGAAAAGAACCCAAATTATCAGAAATTCTGGATCCTATAAAATAAAAAAAAATTGTATTAAAGTATGCTGGTATTAAAATTGCAATCTTAGTGAAAGAAGAATATTATGGAAACTGAACTTCCTTTAATTCTAAGCCAGTTCTCCACTCCTCCACCCACTTACCTGTCCATTGTAACTGGCAGGCATCATGTGACTGACCACAGAGGGACCTGGCAGCTGAGCCCCCACATCAGTGTAAGGAGTGGCTTTCACAGAAGCATGGATGGGTTCCTTGGAAAATGTGAAACAGCGCCAGGCTATAGCATTCTGCTCAAGAATACAAGAATCAGTTTCAGTAGAGCTAATAGTATAATATTAAATTTGTCAACAAAATCCTTTGAAAAAAATGTATTCACATAGTAACAATTAACCAAGAATGAAATCAACAGTGTCTACAAATCCACATGCATTTTGCAAACAGTCTCCTACTGTGTTAGGACTCACCGCATTAATGATCAGTCTGACCGGTACAGAGGCATGTGTCCTGTTTATCAGTTTTAGTGGGAGAGCTTTCCAGCTTCCGTAGGTCAAGTCACCAAAATCAAGAACATCTTTCTTTTCTGTTTCTATCTAATTATGAAAAAAGGGAAAATGATTTACAAAAATCAATATATTAATAAATAGTACAACTTATGTTTTTATCACTGCCTTTTGTAACCATAAATTAAGAATCAGCATTAAAGGTAAACATATCTAAGTTTTATTAGGCTATTTTATAATTGCTTATTTTCTTCAAATAAAAAGGTCAAAATCTTCTTCTGAGTTAGTTTATATACCCAAACACACTACACAATTAAGCGATATCCTATGTGCTGCTACTCTGAAAAAACTATTAGATCTTAAGATGAACTGACAATTTTATAAAATATAGCAGAACCTCTGTAAGTTAACCACCCAAGGGACTGTAACAAACTGGCCAATAGATGGCAGTGGTCAACATAAGAAACCAGAAACTGATACATAAATGAGATGTATGTCCAGTCCGTGAAAATTAAGTCAACTTAAGGAGGTGGTCAATGTAGGTAGGTGGCCAACTATGGAGGTTCTACTGTATAGGAATCTCTAGTTCTGTTACTAGAATATTGACTTCTGAATTCCACTCAAAAATATCATGAATACCTTGGCATATTCAGATTTAATTCAAACTTCCAACAATACTGAAAATGTTTAAGATGGTATCAAAATAGACATATCAAAAGTTTAAGACAACTGGCCACCACCATGACAGACTGACCTCTTTAAACACTGAGATGGACCTCACACAGATTCCTCACACACACACACGGAGAAACAGTCTGTACATGTTCTGTACAGAAGCAAACACTCATTTTGTTTTCCTGTTTATTTTTGCTTTGAGTTTGGTTAAATCTAAGGATACAGAACCTACAGATAGAGAGCACTAAGTGTATTGAAACATACAAGCACACTTTTTTGCCCGAGCCCAACAGAATACAACAGAAAGTCAAAGACAGCCTGGCATGTGGGATGCAGTCAGCTACCATGCAGGGTGGCAGAGCTTTAACACCCTCCAGGGAACACACCATGTGACCTCAAGCTTATCACAGGGAAGGCAAGGCTGGAATAGGGTTTGAACTTCATATATAAAGCCCGGAAATTAAAAGAAGTACTCTTTCTAGAAAAAAGGAGCTTGTCAGGGATGGCAGCACAGACGATCCTTGGTGAGAATGTGCAAGCCTAGGCCCGGCACACATAATCAGAGGACTCCAGGTTGACAACAGTGAGCCCTCCAGAGACACCTGGATTTCTGTAGAGTGCTCTCCAGGGACATTTCCAAAGACCAAGACACAGGGGTGCCTAAAGTAAAAGCAGCCTCCATGAATGTGAGTTCACATCAAAAATGTTTAAGTAGGCTCGGCACCTGTGGCTCAAGCAGCTAAGGCACCAGCCACATACACCTGAGCTGGCGGGTTCAAATCCAGCCCAGGCCCGCCAAACAACAATGATGGCTGCAACCAAAAAAAAATGGCTGGGCGTTGTGGCAGGTGCCTATAGTCCCAGCTACTTGGGAGGCAGAGGCAGGAGAATGGCTTGAGCCCAGGAGACAGAGGTTGCAATGAGCTGTGATACCACAGCACTCTACCCAGGGCAACAGCTTGAGGCCCTGTCTCAAAAAAAAAAAAAGTTTAAGTATCAAAAAACTAGGCTGGGCATGGGTCCTGCTCCTGTTCGGGGTGGTCTCAAACTCCTGAGCTTAAGGAATCCTCCTACTTTAGCCTCCCAAAATGCCAGGATTTCAGGGGTGAGCCACCATGCCTGGCCAAGCAATTCTTCTTGAACACATGAGAAACATCAAAATAAATAGAAAACGTTGTAGGCTATAGCATCAATCTATCTCCATTCTATATTCTGACCACAAAGGTGAAAACAAAGTAAAAAGAAGACAGCAAAGCACTTCCAACACACTTCAAATTAGAAATGTGCTTTAAATTCTTTTTGGTCAACTTTAATATATAAAAGTCTAATAATATAGATGAAACAGTTAAGTGACTATAATCATGGGTTCTGGTACACATACATACAACGCAATACTTAAATGCTGATAGAAATATTGCTGTTTACACTTTCAATTTGAATCAGCAGTTCCACAAATACTGAGCAAGCCCCTACTATGCACCACCTAGTGACCTGGACATGAACAAGAGAGATGCAGCTACTTCCCCACCAAGCAACAGGTACCTTATGGGGGGGAAGAAAGATCAAACAATAAATAGTGAATATTTAATACGTCAAATGAAGAAAAGTGCTAAACAGAAAAGCAAAAGACAAAAGGAAGTAGGAGGTGGGGGGGCTCCCTTTCTATAAGCAGTGTCCAATGTCATCTGAGCAGAGCCCCAAGAAAGGGAGAGTGAAGCATACCTGCATCTGGAGGAGGAGGCTCCCGGTCAGAAAACAAAGGCGTTCAAATGGCTTTTTCATCATCACTAGAATACGCTTTTTGTTAGTTTGTTTAGAGATGGCTTCTTGCTCTATTGCCCACTCTGACACAATGACACAATTATAGCTACAGCACTACAGCCTCAAAGTCCTGGGCTCAAGTGACCCTCCTGCCTTAGGCTCCCAAGCAGCTGGGACTACAGGTGCGTATTACATGCCTGGATAATTTTTAAATTATTTGTAGAGATGGAGTCTCCTTACATTGTCCAGGCTGGTCTCCAACTCCTGGCCCCAAGCAACCTTCCTGCCTATGCCTCTCACAGTGGGGGAATTCCAGGTGTGGGTGACCTAGATGTGCTTTCTAAACTGATGGGTGTCTAGAAAGCTCAGTCTTCACCTGCATGCAAACTGATCCCACGTCACTTTTTGATCTATATGTGAAGCTGTCACTGAAAGTTATTCTAAGCTGAAACATTCATTCACATAATATAGGGCAGTTGTTTTTATTTATTCCGCACACATACATTCAAGATTTCTCTTAACCATTTACCGTATCGTTTCTTTAAGAGACATTTAAAAGGCTAATGTATAACATCCAACATTTACATGCCACCAGGACTAATCACTAAATCTGGTTAAATCTGTCTTCCTTTTTAAAAACAATTATGTCAAGTGATTTTTCAAAACATTCCTAACCAACACCTTCTCAAATAATTATAGGCCTATGTATCATCCCTAAGGAATAGCTTATGAGAACACACTATCACACTGTCAAACTATCAAACTGCATTGTTTTGAAAGGATATTCTTTTGGAGAAAAACAAACCTTGTATTACTTTTGGGATAAAGGATCTTACCTAACTGTGACATCAGTTTAGTCCCTTTTACCTGCTCTGACACTAGCTACACCAAACACTAAGAAAATTATATGATAATAGATTTTTTTTCCTCATAACATTTTGTTCTGAAAATTTTCAGAATTACTGAGAAGTTGAAAGTTCATACAGTAAACACCCACATACCTATGACTTAGATTCTACAGTTAACATTTTGCCATATTCCTTTTCCTACATGTCTAACCATCCATCAGTTCATCTATTAATGTATTTCAAAAAATAATTGCGAACACCAGTATATTTCACCCTAAAAAACTTTCTAAGCAAGCATCTCCAGACTAATCTGTTTTGTCTGTTTGTTTGTTTTTGGAGACAGAGTCTCATTATGTCACCCTCAGTAGAGTACTATGGCATCACAGCTCACAGCAACCTCCAACTCTTGGACTTAAGTGATTCTCTTGCCTCCCAAGTAGCTGGGACTACAGGCACCTGCCACAACAGGTTGAGAACCGCTGCATCTAACAGTCTTTGTGGGTGTGGCCTTTGTATCAAATTCCTCAACTATTTCTCATAGGGAATGCTGTTTCCTGGTCAAATCCCGCTAGTCTCCCAGGGCCCAATTTCTCCAGCTCTACCCCTTCAAGAAGGGGACCCGAGCAGCTAAGACTACAGGTGAGTGCCAACACATACTTTTTGTAGAGATAGGATCTGGCTCTTGCTCACACTGGTCTTAAATTCCTGGCCTCAAGAAATCCTCCCACCTTAGCCTCCCAAAGTGCTGAGATTACAGTCATGAGCCACTGAGCCTGGCAAATTCCCTAGAAAATAAAGAAGTTGTTGACCTAAGTTACCAAGCATTACCCTAGAGAATGTGTACTATAGGCAAACCCTGAATGATTCTCAGCCTCCCCAGGTAGGCTGCCCTACCTCTCACTCCCCATGCTCAACCGCTATACTGGGAGCCACAGTTACAGCTTTGTTGAATAAAACAAATCAACTCTCACAGGACTTCAGTAACACTGTTACGATTGTTAAAATGTGTTAAATTCAGGCTCAGTGTCCGTGGCACACCGAGGGTGGCAGGTTTGAACTGGGCTGAGGTGACCTAAACAACAATGACAACTGTAACAAAAAATAGCTGGGCATTGTGGTGGGCGCCTGCAGTCCCAGCTACTTAGGAGGCTGAGGCAGGAAAATCGCTTGAGCTGGTGGGCGCCTGTAGCTCAAGTGGCTAAGGCGCCAGCCACATACACCAGAGCTGGCAGGTTTGAATCCAGATCAGGCCTGCCAAACAACAATGACAACTACAACAAAAAAATAGCCAGGCGTTGTGGCGGGCATCTGTAGTCCCAGCTACTTGGGAGGCTGAGGCAAGAAAATCGCTTAAGCCAAGAGAGGTTGCTGTGAGCTGTGATGCCACAGCACTCTACCCAGGGCGACAGCTTAAGGCTCTTGTCTGAAAAAAAAGAAAGAAAAGAAAGAAAATCACTTGAGCCCAAGAGTTTGAGGTTGCTGTGAGCTGTGATACCATAGCCCTCTATCAAAGGAGACGTAGTGAGATTGTCAAAAAAAAAAAAAAGTTAAATTAAATTCAAATAATTAAGCATCACCTAATTTTAACTTACAGTTGTCTGTTGTTTACTGGCATTTCAGTCAACAATGGACTGTATGTACAACAGTGGTCCTGTGGGATTATGAAGAGGGGACTGAAAACTTCTTGACACCTGGTGATGTCACAGCCCTGGTCATATTTGTTGCTCAATTGCTTTTTTTTTTTTTTTTTTTTTTTTGAGACAGAGTCTCACTTTGTTGCCCTCGGGTGGCGTTATGCAGCTCACAGCAACCTCCAGCTCTTGGGCATAGGCAATTCTCTTGCCTCAGCCTCCCGACTAACTGGGACTACAGGCGCCCACCATAATGTCTGGCTACTTTTTGGATGCAGTTTGGCCGGGGCTGGGTTCAAACCTGCCACCCTCAGTAAATGGGGCCAGCACCCCACCCACTGAGCCACAGGTGCTGCCCTTTTTATTATTATTTTTTAAATAAATTTAGTGCAGCTGAAGTGTGGAGTGCTTATAAAGCCTACAGCAGTGCACACTCATTTCCAGGACCTTCACCCTCACTCACTGTCTTACCCAGAGAAGCTTCAAGTCCTGTGAGCTCTATTCATGGTAAATGCCCTATATGAGTAATGTTTCTCTTTTATACCAAATTTTTACTATACCTTTTCTACACTGAGATACATTTAGATGCACAGACACTTACCACTGTGTCACAAGTGCCTGCATCTCCAGCACAGACCTATGCTGTCAAGTCCACAGCCTGGCCCCCACAGTCCAGATGCATGGCAGGCTACACCTTCTAGGTTTATGCAAAAAAACTGCACATCATTATCTTTGGCCAGTGACAAAAATGATGCCTTTCTTAGAACATCCCACATCACTAGGTGACACGTGGCTATATCATCACTAGCTCTTCTGCTTCTCCGTTTTATACTGTCCCTCACTCCTTAAACTTGTTCAATAGGTTAGTTCTGATTTCACTACCAATTATAGGAGACACTTCTTATAAAGCAGCAGTTGTTAACTAACGCTGTGATTTGTAATCATTTGGGAAGATTTAAGAATAACTGATATGTAACCATAGCCTCAACCGTTCTGGTGTAAATGACATGAGTGGAATTTAGACACTGGGATGCATTGGCCAGATGCGGTGGCTCATGTCTGTAATCCCAGCATTCTGGGAGGCCAATGTGGGTGGACTATTTAAGCTCAGGAGTCTGAGAACAACCTGAGCAAAGGTGAGAACCTGTCTCTACTAAAAACAGGAAAATTAGCTGGGTGCTGTGGCGGGCACCTGTAGTCCCAGCTACTCAGGAGGCTGAGGCAAGAGGATTGTTTGAGCCCAAGGGTTTGATGTTGCTGTGAGCTATGATGCTATGGCACTCTACCCAGGGCACAGTGTGAGACTCTGCCTCAAAAAAAAAAAAAAAAAAAAAAATTCACGCCTATATTCCTAGCACTCTGGGAAGCTGAGGTAGGTGAATTCCCAGAGCTCATGGATTCGAGACCAGCCTGACCAAGAGCAAGATCCTGTCTCTAAAAATAGTCAGGCATTGTGGCAGGAACCTCTAGTCCCAGCTTCTTGGCAGGCTGAGGCAGCTGCCTGTAGTCCTAGCTACATGGGAGGCTGAGATAAGAGAATCACTTAAGCCCAAGAGTTTGAGGTTGCTGTGAGATATGAAGCCAGGGCACTCTACCCAGAGCAACAAAGCAAGACTCTGTCTCCAAAAATAAATTAAATAAATAAATATCCCCCCAGTTGTTCCAGTGTGTAGCCAAGGTCTACAGCCATCCTAATCCTATATCCTAAATGAGGATATAACCTAATGACTGTGTATTACCCCAACTAAATTACAGGTAATCTCTTTCACTTCCAGTAAATCAGTGATCAAAAAAGAGAAACTTTTCCAGTGGCAAAGAATATTCAGGTACAGAAAAGAGAAAATATTAACCACTGGCATGTTTCTTTATAGAAAAAGGAGAAGAATATGAACCAGTGGCACTTTCCTAAATATATATCAAGTCACAAATCAGTTGGGAAACAGGGTTTAATGTTACATTGTACTTTATAAATGTCTCAGCAAGTACATTTGTGTTGCCACAAAAAGTAGAAACAAGTTTAAAATTTGAAGAAGATACTTAAGAACCAATGTTCAGCTTGAAATTAATCCTATACATATTTGTCCACAAACTGATTTCTCCCAAACATTACTTCTGAGGTTAAACAGCCTTCATTAAAACACCAGGTATGACAAAGACTCATTCCCTGTTACCTCGATGATGGGACTCTCGGCAATGGCGCTAAAGATTACTGTGCTGGCCATCGCTTCCGCCTGCACTATTGTCTCAGCGTCTGTGGAGCACGGCCAAGAAGCAACACGGAATGTGCATCTGAAAATCCCAGGATTGGACGGTATAAAAAGTACTTTTATCTCTTCTGTGGCATGAGGTCTTACGATGACTTTATTCTTGAAAACTAAACAACGATATGTTGAAAGATCCACCTTTGAAAAAGAACCACATGGTTTGTCATAAATGGCATCATGCTGAAAATCAAGTAGAACACCCAGATTAAGATTCCTTTCCCCAGTCACTCAAACTACTAGATTTAGACATTTATTACCTCTTCAAAAATATCCAAATCTTATAACGCATTGTTTCTAAAGTACTATTGGTCAAAATGCTTCATAAGTTTAATTTTTCTTACTACATAAAGACTGTATCTCCCTATTTTATTTTAAACCAAGCACATTTATTTATGCCCTCACTTTTTTAACAAAGGACACTGACAACAGGAGCCCTTTTGCAGTCCTGCAAATCCCTCTGGGATGTGGCTCCTGCAGCTGCACATCCTGTGGGGTGCAGGGAGGTTGGCTCGTTGCTAAGGCCCTTAACAGGCTACCGTGTCTGCAGTTTACGACATTGCCTGCCTCTCCATCCTTGCTGTAAATGAGGATCTTCTTTTCTACTCACTACTCCTATCACCAACACTTCCACTCACAGACTCCACAAGTCCCTACAAATCTCTGGATTTGACTTTCACCCTCAACCCTTTTTTTCATCCAGTCACATGCTGTTCACCCAACCTGAGAAAAGTCAAAAGGAAAAGACTAGGAAAGGGAAGAGCTGGGGTAGAGGCAATCTGATTTTATTAGGTAAATAGAGTTCTAAGAGGTAAGAGAGAAGAATAAACCATCCACCAATGGTGCTTATAAGCAGCAGTTGTGAAACAAGGACATTTCCCAGGAGCAGTGGGGCCCACAGTCTCTTTCCTCCCCCACAGATGCTCAAATGGTCATCATAACTGGAAGGAGATCTACAGTCCAGAATCACAGCAGCCATACAGACTGTGTGAGAGACTGTCACTGTTAAGAGTTAATGTTTCAGGTATTTCAAAAGATCATGTAAAAAAAAATTAGATAAATTAGTCAGAAAGGCTCAGTGTCTATAGCTCAGTGGCTAAAGCGCCAGCCACATACCCCAAAGCTGGCAGCTTCGAACCCAGCCAGCCAGAGCCTACCAAACAACAATGACAACTACAACAAAAAAACAGCCAAAAGTTGTGGCAGGCACCTGTAATCCCAGCTACTTGGGAGGCTGAGGCAAGAGAATCGCTTAAGCCCAAGAGTTTGAGGTTGCTGTGAGTATGATGCCACAGACTCTACCGAGGGCGACATAGTGAGACTCTGTCTCCAAAAAAAAATTAGTCCAGACTCCTCTTACTTAGGTCCCAAGAGTAAATTCTTTAACAAATGATGGTGACTTATATTCAATTAGATTTTAAAAACTAACAAATAGAGACCAGGAATTCAGAACTTTTAGTGATTTAAATAATTGTGCTAAAAATAAATTTACATGATTTTATAAGTAAATAACAAAATATAACTAATAACTGGTTAAAAAGTCAGATTTCATTTATACTATAAATACTACAACACAACGGGACCCCTCAAAAGATACCGCTCCAATGACCGTGTACAAGGTCGAAGGGCTGAGGGTCAGAAGGGGAAGAGGAGAAACCCAGCCCTCAGCCACGATGCAATCATCAGACCACACGGGCGAACCACGGAAAGCTCACCTTCTCACCATTGACGCTGACACTCAGAAGCCCGATGCTGACCTGGAGCCAGCGGTCGGTTGGGTTGAACACACTGAGGTGGGTCTGTGCAGCGAGGCCCACACAGCAGGCATGGGGGAACTTCAGCTCCTCGGGCACTTTCACCGCCCCTGGGGAAGGACACGACAGTCACATGCCAGCCACAGCACAGGCCTGGCTAAAGGCACTTTCGGCTAGACGGCAATTACTACACAGACTCCAGTATAAACCTCAGATGCAGCAGTCCCTGGTGCTCTATGGGCCTAGAAGAGGCCTGCCAACAACGTTCTGCCTTAATCCAGCCCAGGAAAAAAAATTCAAATTGATCAAACTCACAATTACAACTAATCAATTTTTTGATGGTAGTAATTGTTTTCTTTTTTTCCTCACAAGTCATAATCAGAGAGAAAATCTGGTAAGAAGCTACAGAGGCCTTTCAGATATGCACACCTATTCTGATTCTTAATGCCACACCAATCTCCCCATGTTCAGTTACCGCGAGGCCAGAGGAGGCAGCACCCACGGCCCAGCACTGTGTATGACGACGGGTGGTGTAGCCCTATGCTGGGCAGAGTAACTATCAGCAGGGGGAGGCGGCCCACAGAAAGCCCAAGAAAGGCCTCTCGTTGGCTGCCATACCAGTTACCCTACAAGACAGAAGATGACTAGTTCTGGGACTCACCTCTAAGCTGGGCATTCCCTAGATGAAAGAATGAAACCCAGCTGCAGAGCAAAAGAGAGATGAGAAGACAAAGGCCTGGAGGACCTTGCACTTGCTGAAACTCCTGTGTTTTTCTAAGTCTCTTTCAGGGAGCCTTGCACACAAGTGCATTACAGTGCTCTCATTTGAGGACAAAGGACAAAACTTACAAGTCAACTAGTATCTCCTTTGAAACAAACTACCCTTATGTGGTATCATTTGAGAAAACTCACCTTCTAAAAATGAGTCTAACAGTGACAGCCACAGAGAAGCAGTATCTTACCAAATCCTGATGTCACTCCTGAATCCCAAGGAGCAAGTTCAATGCCTGCGCCAGGAGGCCGTCCCGGGAAAGCTGTGACAGCATGCAGCAGGCTCTGACTGAGGGCACTGGCGTGCGGGTGGCAGAGGGAAGAGGCCCCCATCAGTCCAGAGCCAACACTCGGCCCTAGACAAGGGCCCATGACCACAGGGTTTTGCACATGCTCTCCTGGCACAGCTGGGTAAGGGTAGCCTCCCGAGAGCGCACAGACACCACTGCCAACGTGGCATGGAGGCCAGGCAACACTTCCTGCTGAAGGGGCTGCCCCTACACACTGCTGGGCAAAGGTGGCTGTGCTAAGGGAGTGTAGGGTCAAGGGTGCAGGCATCGTGGTGGGCACGGGCTGTGCCTCCACACAGCCTAGACCTGTGCTGCTGGGTGCAGGTGGGCACAGGTGCCCAGAGGTGATCGGGTGAGAAGCGTGGCCACTGGCCTCACTGCTGGCAGTTGGCACATCTTTGTAAGTTCCCCTTTGGTCTTTGTCCATAGACTCCTGGTGTGACACTGGGAGATGTGGGGCTGACCCTGCCTGCCAGCTTGGCCCCGACATGCTCAGGAGGGCCAGCCTGACTGGGTCCCAGTCGCCAGGGTGTGGGGCCAAATCCCCCTCGCTGGCTTCCAATGGAGCTCCACTTTTGGAGATAGGAACTTCACAGGATCTAAAGGTGGGTTTTACATCTGTAGGTTTGCCACACAGAGAGGCGGCTTTAACTGCTTTTTTCATATATGAGTTGTTCTGGATGACACATGATAATACCCCCTGGCCTTTATTCTGAAATGGAACTTTTTCTCTCAACTTTTCCACGGCTTGTTCTTCTGATGGAGCTGGACTAGCTTGAATAATTGTAGTGCTCAATTCACTGGTGGTATCAATCTGCATATGACAAACAAATTTCAAAAATAACTCACAGATAAATTGAACAAATTCAAGCCATGTTGGTATAAATTCAAGTAATAAAGAGATCTACATGAATGATCCCTCTAAAGAAAGATGTACTTTACACAAAGAGTAGTTCTGCAGCATTTTTTGCAGGCTTACGTTAGAAAATTTTCATTCATTGTTTTTAAAAAGAATTATAATATCAACAAAATAAATAGGTATATACCAATTACATCTGAAAAATCTACACAGATAAAGACCAGAGCCACATAATACTTTTGCAAATTTAAGGGATTTACTTCTGTAAACTTTAAAGTTTTTTTTTTTTTTTGTGAGACGGAGCCTCTAGCTGTCACCCTAGGTAGAGTGCCATGGCATCACGCTCACAGCAACCTCCAACTCCTGGGCTCAAGCGAGTCTCCTGCCTCAGCCTCCCAAGTAGCTGGGACTACAGGCGCCCGCCACAACGCCTGGCCATTTTTTGGTTGCAGCCATCATTGTTGTTTGGCGGGCCCGGGCTGGGGATTCGAACCTGCCACCTTAGGTGTATGTGGCTGGCGCCTTAGCCGCTTGAGCCACAGGCGCCGAGCCAAACTTTAAAGTTAAAAACAGAAATATATTAGTACCAAAGGAAAAAGCCTTAAAATAAAATATAAATAAATTAGTACTAATGGGGAGAGGAGCGAGTAAGCTTCCAAATGACATTGACATAAGGTTAGATGTCAACAGGAAGCTGGCTCATGGGTCCTCCTGCCTGCAGTCTGTCTGCACGTCCTGGAGAGGTGAGGTGCTGACTGCACTGTGCCTGCTCCCATCTCTAAACTCACGTGCTTCCAGCTTCTTCAGTACAAACTTAACAGTTCCAGGAAATCTCATATACTCATTTCTTTATATATAACGCATAACCTGAGGGTGACATCTTGAGCTCTGTAGGATGATCCAGATATAATTTATACATAACACACCCCTGACCCTCACTGACTGACTTTGGTTGCTTTCAAAATTTCTCCTGAACCAAAGCTTTAGAAACAAAGACACTGATAAAAAATAGATTTGTCAGTGATTAATAACAACAAATGGTGTGTGTGACTTACTAGGGGACAAGTGCTGTTCTCATACACTCTTCCTCCTTACACAGGAAGAAACCAGTGTAGGGAAGTTCAGTAACACCCTGTCCAAGGAACAGCCAGAGAAGCTGTCTGACTCCCTAACTCAGCTCTTAACTACTTGGCTGAGTTAATATCTCACGGCATCAAAATGATGGCTTCCCTGAGGTGGTGCCCCCACAGCTCAGTGGGTAGGGCGTCAGCCACAAACACCAAAGCTGGCAAGTTCAAATCCTCCCCGGGTCAGCTAAGCAACAATAACAACTACAACAAAAAAATAGTCGGGGCTTAGTGCCTGTAGCTCAAGCAGCTAGGGCGCCAGCCACATACGCCGGAGCTGGCGGGTTTGAATCCAGCCTGGGCCCACCAAACAGCGATGACAACTACAACCAAAAAATAGCCAGGCTTTGTGGCAGGCGCCTGTAGTCCCAGCTACTTGGGAGGCTGAGGCAAGAGAATTGCTTAAGCCCAAGAGTTTGAGGTTGCTGTGAGCTGTAACACC